TGGAAGTTTTTTCAGGTCGGATACTGTTGAGACTATAAGCCACCGCCCATTTTGCAGTCTTGTCTTGCATGCTAATTCTACTTGTTAAATTCCATTTCAAGTGGCCTCTCTGAGTCAACTTGCTACTGTAGCAGATGTTGCAGTATAATCAGAGGATTCTGCATAACCAGGCCTCTCTCCCACAGCTATTTCCTGTGAGTCAGGTTTCTGCCATAGCTCTGACATAATTTTGAGAAGTTGCCACTCGAGTCCACCGCAAAGCTATGCTCTTTAGCTTCCAGTCTCTTTCCCCCTCTCCTTTTCACTGCCTTTGCACCAGAACCACATTGGTTCTGATTCAATCAGAACCCTCTGCAGCAATACACAGGAATCAGGATATGGCCCTACAATAAAAAACAAAACATTGTAATCCTTATTACTGACAAGCAAGTTACTTAACGGTGATATTTTGAACAAAACATTGTCTATCACCACATCCAAAGAGATCAGGCCAGATGAGTATAACTTCAAGTCCAAAGAGTTTCACTAGCAAATCTTGGCAAGACAATCTGTTGCCTTAGTCCATTAATTGCTGCATTTGCATATTGCTGTTGCATGTTTTGCTTTGGAAAGCACTTTGAAATACTTTTGTATGTTCATATTGATTTTCAGTGTCTTGAGTATTGCTGTTGTCCATCTAAGGAAGGTGAAGTAAAAACAAATTCACCCTGATGTGAAGATTAAAAGAAAATGAAGGAATATATATTCTTTACATTCATATTTTGACTTTAAAATTAACTTTTTGCCTTTTTAATAGTCAAATTTCATTAGCTTTGGTATTAAACTGCCTTGTTACTATACAGTACAAAAAGAAAACCAGATACCACAATAAACAATGTATACTTCCATTTGGATGAGCCTTTGAATAATATTGAACCAGGAGGTTCTATGGGAGGCCCACGAGACATTTTGTTTACTGTTACCCACGCAAAAGGTTGCCAGATTCTCTTGGTTTTCGGTCCGCATAGTTTTTTTTCCTACTGGCATTACAAAAGTGACATGCACGTAAAGCAAGGGCATGTGAAGTGAGGTGCCTGCTGATTGCACACAATATTATGAGGCCCGTGTGCTCGCTCTGCCTCCAATCAAAACGCTGCTACGGTTCAGTCAGCACACCCTGCAAATTCTAGGTATGCAAGCACAGTTAATAAAGCTACCCTATCCCAGGACACCGTCTTTGTCATGACAATCTTGTGGCCCACTAAAATGAAGGAGGCCACTCAAGTGACCCACTCGGTGGCCTTGGTTGCCCTTCAGTGCCTTAGTCTATTAATTAGAAAGCAGAAATAAGTCAAATGAGTCTCCTCCTAATAAAGTAAGTTTGCAGAGGACTTCTGCATGTGAAAAACAGACCATAACACCATCTGCTGTAAGAAGTGTCCAACTGTTAATGGTACATGCAGTACTGCTTTATGGCTGCTGTGAAGACGGAACATTGCAATAGCTCCAGCCCTGTCAAAGTACATAACTTCACTCACTTTGAATCATCAAATGACTTTCAAAGGAACTAGTCAGAGTGTAAAGTTAAGCATAAACCTTTGGAGATTTCAAGGCCAATCATCTCAATCTGTAAGACCCTTACTCTTGTGAGTAATCCCATTACCACCAATGACTAAAAGGGCAAGGCCTATTCATATGACCAAGGGTGTCGCCATTTGATCTAGCACACACTGAAATCATTGTCAACTCTCCGTTTATGGCACAGGATGCCTGAACTTCTGAGGCAATGAGCACTGTCCGCACCCATTGAAGCCCTTGAAGTGCAACCACCTCAGAATACTAGGCTCTGTGCAGTCACTAATATAGATCCAATTACATTAGCACTATGGGCTCAGAACCCTTCCATTTAAGCTACACAGTCATCTGATGGCTCTGTGCATGTGGTGTTCCAATTGTTTTGAGACAACTGCCTAATTGTGGAGACATACTGAGCTGAATAGCTTTGTCTAAGCATGTATCTTGCTTATGTTAATAGACTTTAGTTTCTTCTAAAATCAAGGAATTTTAAGACCTTGTAGAGAAATTGATTTTACTAAAATTTTGCAGATTTCATGACTCAGTGTTTCTCGAAGTGGTTGCCAGCCCGCGGTGGGAAAGTTGCTAGTGGGCTCTCACTGCATTGTTTACCAAATGGGTCCATAGCCAAGGAGCCTCGTGGCTCCCATTGGCTCCAGTTCACCGTTTCCAGCCCAGGAGAGCTGGGAAGCTCTGTGGCAATAGATCCTTTAGGTGATCTAAGATGCACCCGCTTGCTAGAGGTTTTCCCAAAGTGGACCCGCAGCCCTCTTTGAGAAACACTGTCATGACTCTTTGATATGCTGTGTAAATCTAAGGGTCAATGATAGAACGAATCCTCTTTTAGAATAAAAATAATTAATAATAAAAATCCCTAACTCTATGATTAGGCTGTTAAAATGAGCATGTTAAAGGAGCTCTGGGCCTGATTCTCTGCTTCCAAATGGATTTCCATACCAATGTAATTCCCCTGGTTTTAGTGCAGCTATTCCAAAGTTACACTGATATAAATAAGAGGAAAATCAGGAGTGGCCCTCTGTAATTTATATGTTTAAGTAAGTTGCTCTCCTACCCCTGCAGCTATTTCAGGATTATGCTTGCATTCAGCGAGGCACTAAAGCACATGTATAACATAAACATGTAAGTAGTCTCGACTCCAGTGGGATTACTCATCTGTTTAAAGTTAAGGTCATGCTTAAGTACCTGAATCAAGGACTCAGTTATTTAACAGCTTTCTTATTGGAAACAAGTCTTAAAAATGTTTGGATCAAAACTATCTTTAGTAAGAGGAAATATCATTTTTACTAACTGCTTTAAAATGCATCAATTTTTAATCGCGTTATACAATTTTGCTTCTTTTTTAAATGTACATGAAGTTAAAATAGCATCTTACCATTGCATCTTATGTCAGCATTCATATGGTTACCTTTCTTTAAAAATAAGTTTTGAGTGCAATTTTGTAACGAAATGATGCAGAAGAATTTAAATGTAAAGTAATAGCATACTGGAGATTACTTAAAAGCTTCAAAGCACATGTGCCACCGTAAGACAATAACTTCAGATCATTGTACACTGCATGAGTAATAATTATACTCATGAATAAATAATTGCAATTTTAATGCTAGTCTAACGCTTTCAGCCAAAATATTCACTGTACAATATAAAATAGGCCTACACCATCATGAAAATAATTCTGATTTTGTTAGTGTTAAAAATTTATACCATATCAATGACAGTGGGTCCTGAAGGTAAAAATGGAAAGTGAAGAGGGATGTGTGGTAAATATGAGGCCAGGGGTGACTATCCTAAAAAGCGCCAGACAAATGTAATAACTTTGGGGGTGCATTGCCTCATTCATTTAATGGCCCAGTGTTACATTTGGAAAACATCTGTCACATTCCACAATCTGAATTCTCTATACAGGCTGCCGCTTGAAATGCTACTCCCCTGAGTGGGTCCTCATTTGGTGAGTGACTATAGCAGGCTCATCAATCTCTAGGTGAGGCCCAGCCACCACTAAATTGAGAGCCACCCTGATTGTGAGCACTGGAGACAGTCTCCTGCCCTGTGTTCTTCTGCCCAGCCCAACGGTGGCCTTCAGCAGCCATAAAGAGGAATTATAGGGAAATTCCTGCTCCCTTCCTGCAGCCCTGGGCTTGAACACCCTATAAAGAGAATCTCTGGGGAATTTAGCTACCAAACACTTAACAAGTCTCTATGAGCAGGTTCCTAGTGAAACATTTCAAAGGCTGATAAATTGGGCTAAATTTGGGGACGTTTTAATGGGGCTGGCAAAAGGCACATCCTTGGCACAACTCACTTGCCAAATTTCAAGTGCCTGCTCAACACTTGAAACCATCAGTATCAAAGGCACTGTTCTGGGCTGCCCATACTATGTTACATTTTTGTGAAGATCTAGAAGATAGAGGAGGAAGTAGAATTTCCTGTTTGGGAAAGGTCTCATCATGATCTGAGCACAAAGCAGGGGCCTGACAAGTCTCGTGTTCCAGTCTGCCTAGCTTTTAATTCTTTCCCTCTACCTCTAGCTCCCCCTACCCCTCTTTGTGTGTGTGTGTGTGTGTGAGAGAGAGAGAGAGAGAGAGAGTGGTTTTCCTTCAACATTCTGTTCTTGGGTCTGTTTCTTTTTAACTTTAATATATTACTTTTTCTTCCCTCACTCTCTTTGTTTTATTCTTCCTTCCACCCTACCCTTTCCCATTCCTTATTCTGCTCTCTTTTCTGTGCTTGCCAATGTCTAGATTTTCTTTCCCTTTTACACTGTGTGGCTGAATTTCCTCCTTTTTTCTGTTTTCTTTTGTTGTCTTTTATTTTTCCTTTCTTTTCCTACAGTTCCTCCTGTCTCTCCAGTCCCATTCACAAGGGCCAGGCTCACCGACAGGTGGGGAGGCAAAGAAGGCAACTGCCCCAGGATCCAGCAATTCAAAAGGGCCCAGGGCTCCAGCTGCTGCCACTGCTACCATAGTAGCAGCAGTCAGAGACCCAGGTCCTTTAATTTGCCTCTGGAGCGCCATGCACTGCACTCTGGGAGGCTCTGGGGGCTGGCTATCCCCAACCCCACCCTTTCTCCGTGTATTTCTGCCCCTTCCGGGAGCACAGAGTGGTCTCCCTTCTCTGCTTGTCCAGGGGCCTGGAAGTTCTGTTATCCCCTGATAAGGGCCCACAAATTCCCTTCCCCATTCTTCCTTTCTTTCTCCAAGTACCCCCTCTCAGGTTCACTTAATGTCTGTGGGAGCCCACTTCTTAGAGTTACTCTGCAGTAGCATAAAGACCAACACTACATGAATAAAAACTCAGAAATACAACTCATTGGAGTCAGGTTACTAGGGCTTGTTTATTTTTAAGCAGTCAGAGTTCAAATAAATTTCTTTGACTGTGGTGTTTTCTTTGCAATTGGGACAGATGCTTATGCTTACTATCATTTGCAGGGGCCCCAAGGACCTCCTGGGCTGGATGGAATGGTGGGTCCTCCAGGAAAGAAAGGAGAAAAAGTAAGTTAAGAATCTAAGGGCCCAGTTCAGCATAACATTTTAGTTATTTCTGAGTGGCAGCAGTCCATGAATAGTTTGCTGAATTCAGCTCCTAAGGCTTGTTAAACATCTCACAGGGCCATTTGCACAACTTTATAATGTCATGTGGTGTCCAGTCCTGGTTTTTCTCAATAGATAATGTGCAAAATATGTGAACAATTCCATGTAATTCATCCATAAAAAGGCAGAATAATAGTTGTGTTTATGTAAGTAAAGTCTATGGGAGAATGAAACTCATCCCGCCATCCCAGACTGGCATATAGTTGCCTCACAGCTCCCTGCTGCAGTCCTTCCACTGCATTTTTATGGGTTGGGGCCACCGGAACCACTTAACTTTGAATTCTATAGTCTTTTCTCTTTTTCACCTTTTGCCCTGCTTATGTGAGGGCAGGTGTAAACCTCCTGTATTGTCCTCAGTGTTGTCTACATTTGCAATTGGTCCTGAGTTTTGGAGTATATAGTGTTTTCTTAAAGCTGACGTTCCCAGGGTCAACAGATTGCATAAGAATCTCTGTTTTTATGGCAAACGAATAAATGTCTGCCCTTACTGTTGCAGAGAAAATTTGGAAAATGGGACAGAAGTGCACAGTAAGGGTTCACAAACAGATGGCAAAGAAAAGAACACCAATATTTTCTTTTTAAAAAATCTCATGATTTTTTTAGCCAGTCTCATGATTTTGTTGAGGCTGATTCATGAGTTTTGTATGTTCAGGTTTGGCAATACTGTGGTGTACATGGAGCGCTATGGGCCACTGTGTGGAGATACCAGTGACTCTCACACACAACGCCGAGATGGACCAGAGAGAGTTCAAATAAGTTCCTTGTTCCAGAGCTCAGAGCTTATTCTTGTGTCCTTTGTAGTCAATGGAAAAGTTCCCATGACTGGTTACAGAAAATTAAATTAACCTGCATATCGGGTTGTAGAGTAAAAGTCTGTAGGCAAGAGGAATTAGTTGGAAGAAAGACATTTTCATGCAGAGCATATTCATCAGAAAGGGGGATAAGGCCAGTTGTCTTCCACACTATATGTATCTGATCAGAATTAAATTATAAATGAAGCACTACAAACGCTACAGTTGCTCAGAGAGCTGTCAGAGCATAGCAGCACCATCAAGTCTGCCAAATCCATTTCCACCTGCTGAGAGGAGTTTTACATGCTTCCTGTGGTTACTTTTTCTAGCAAATCATTCATTATTTATCTCCTATAGTTGTACCATTGGGGCTTATTCTGTCTATTGAGTCCTCATACAGTCAAAATTCCCACTGTCTGCTTGTATAGGGACTATAGTATTTGGCCAGATATGATATATATTGCTATTAACACGCTGTGGGTAGAAAAAGCTGTTTTCATACTCTGGATTTCTTCCCATTCTGTAAACTGAAGAGGAAGAGAGCAGCAGGGGAAAGAGATGGAGAGAGTGAAAGAGGAGTCAGTAAAAGCTGAATGAGGTAAAAGAATAAATTCAGAGAACATGAGGGCAGAAAAAAATCTTGTAACTCTGCTTGTTTATATCAGGGTTCCTGTATCCCTTTCAAATAGAGATTTCCCACAGATGAAGAGTACATCAAATCTAGCTCCCAATAAGAATTTTGCCATTGACTGCAGTGGGATGAAGAGTTCATCCTTGATATTTCATTCTGTGTGGTCCAAACCTCTAAAACCCTGCTGCAATAATCAAAATATGGATTGCTCACTGACCACAAATCATGCTGGAAGCTCTAGTAATTTGCAGATGTAATTACTCAACTGCAGGCTATTGTTGATTTTAACTAGCAGGTTTAATGCTTATGATATCCTGATCCCAATAAAGTCAACAACAAAGGTATTCACTGAATTAAGCAGAGCATATATCTCTGTTCTCTATGCCTAAATCTTTTAATCCTGCTCAATTAACTGGCATTGATTTTATTTTACAGGGTGATCAAGGTCTTCCAGGTGCAGCTGGTCCAAAGGTAAGAGGATTGAGCTTTGTTTATTTCTAGGAATCAGATAACATCATCCTTCAGAGACAGCGTGTCACATATAATTTGGCATTGTATTCTGCCTATCAAAAGTTTCCTGAAAACAGTTGAAAGAAAACCCTTATTAACAAAATGAAAAATATTCATAATATTTGGAATTTTTATTTTGGACCAAGGCTTAGGAACCAGGGGACCTGGGTTCTTGTTCCCAGTTCTGATCTGCTTTGTTGGGGCTAATGACTTAATCTCTTATTGACTTCGTTTCACAGGTATAAAGCAAGGTAAACCCCGTATCTCAAGGATATTGCAAAACTTAATTCAATATTTTCTTAAAAGTGAGAACCTTGGACGGAAGAAATCCAGAAGATTATTATTCTTCAAACTAGTTATCAGTGAACATACTTTTCAGACAATCAAATTCTGTAATCACATCTACCTCTTGCAACTACTCAATAAAATCATGTTTCCCTTTTGCTTTAGGGAGATGCTGGAGATATTGGATCACCAGGCCCAAAAGGCCAGGCAGGTGATGATGGCCAGCCTGGAAAGCCTGGACTTCAAGGACCACCAGGACCACCTGGCCCAGGCTATGGGTTTGGATTTGAGGTGCTCTTCTGTTAAAAGGGTTAATCGTGTATACAAAGTTATTGGATTCAATGGAAGGACAACATGCTCTTTAATGCGCTTCCTGCCTAACTATCTTAAAAATTGAGCTGCAGATTCTGATGCCAGTTTTCACAGGCTATCTTTTTAGAAGCCACACATTTGGTTCTGGCAGGTCAATTATGTAAGGCTGAAAGACTCAACATTTAAAAAATTGGTAGTGGCCCCATGTAGTATAATCCTCAATAGGACATTTTCTCATAAAACCAAACAAATGAAGACTGAAAATTGAAACATTACATTTCATTTATGCATATAGTTCCTCCTCCATTTTAAAATTTTTGCTCACCTAGGGTTCTCAGTTCTGCCTTTTATTTGAAAGCAGCTCATAGTTCAGAAAATAACTATCTCTGGGCATTGGGAGTGAAACACACTGAGGCAAATTCTATCTTCCCTTTCTGGTGTACTGAAAGGCTCTCTAGCTTCTTTTTTTTTTAAGAGAACATAATATACATCAGGCCAGTAAACAAGAATTAACATTGTGTGAGGAATAAATAATGTTTGGCTAACAATTTGCAAACATCCGACCCGGGATAGGGTGGCGACCTTTAGAATTTGCCAATTTTATCTGAGATATATAAATATTGGGTTCCTTCAGTGTTTGCATTGTTCCTTTATACTTCCCTTTATTTACTCTATAAGATATATTGAATACACTAAATATGGAAAAACAACAAGTAGTCCTGTGGCACCTTAGGCTATGTCTACACAATAATGTTATTTCAGAATAACTGACGTTATTCCAAAATAACAAAGAGCGTGTTACACTGCAAGACATTATTTTAAAATAATGTTGAGCTGGAGGACTTCTTACTCTGACTCCTCTAAACCACATTTTACGAAGAGTAAGGGAAGTAGAAGGAAGAGTGTTCTTCCTTCGACTTCCTGCTGTGTAGATAGCATGGTGCATTCACCCTGGGAAGTGAGCAAACAGCTAAACAGTTCACAGCTCATACTCTCAAGAGATATTTCATTTGGTATTTGGTACACTTTGACTTATTATTTGTGAAAAGAAGGGGGGAGGAGGGGTCGGCAGTATGCATCCTTGCTTTTCTGCCCTGATAGTGTGGTGTTTAAGTGAGATAGAAATAGATTCAGAGAGAGCATTGCAGTCTCCACTGTTATAAAAGAATTGGCATGCATTAAAGAAAATGCACATTCCCTTATAATAGAGATCTGCCTTCTGCCTCAGAAAGCCTTCTGTGTATGGACATTGCTGTTCTCTCAGCTCATGCACATGTCAGCAAACCATGTGAGTTGCCTTTTGCATCTGCAGTAATCACAGGCAGGAGCCCAGCATTCAATTGTGAGGGGAAGAAATAACTTTCATTCTTGAATCACAATTAGGCTGCTTGGCAAAATGCCCCCAGATCGTCCCCTGCCAGAACCAGATATAAATGTTTAAGCAATTTAGCTTTGAGAAGTAATTACAGTAAGAACAGCTATCCAGAGCAGCAAAATGGTCTGAGATAGTTAAATGGTAAAACACAAATCCCACACTAGAATTTAAAGTAGTGGGCAGTACTCTTAAAAATGGAAAATTACTTTCACTCCATTTTCCAGGGTTTTTTTCAATCTAAAATAATGCAGGCTGGTAAAGTAGCCAACCTGTCACTCTGCGTGATTCTTGATTGGCACAAAGAATCACTGTGCTGTTCCCACGTTTGAATATGTCTCATTTCTAACATTTAGCAGTGAATTGACAGAAAAATGGTTTAGAGGAGAATTTGAAGTATATCTGGTGCTTGTTAGGTGCCTTTGCTCTTTACATTCAAGTGAAAGTCCTGAGGTAAAATGGAGGAGAGGGTAAAATGTAACATTCTATGTGATTCTCCCTTTTTTCACTATAGGACATGGAAGGGTCAGGGGACATCAGTTTGTTAAGTGAACCCAGATTTCCAGGATCAAGAATGCCAAATGTAAGGTTTTTTGGCTTGTTTTTTGGTTTATTTGGGTTTTTTAATCATTTGAAATTTACTCTTCCAATTTAGATTCAGTCTGTCTGGAAGACTTTTGGGTGTTTTAAGTCGGCCGTCCATATTCTACAATTCTGAATGTATGCAGAGCCAGTGTCTAGTCTTTCTGTCTTAAGAAAAATATGTAGTAGAGCATTTAGTGCTGTCTCTCCCAGGTGAAATTTCAAATAATTCCACTGGTTTTGATTGAGTTGCTCTAGATTTATATTGTACTCAATTATATCAGGGTGTTGCCCATAAAATCTGTGTAGTTTTCGTGTACTTTTTGGACAGTTGATTAGTTTGTCAGGATTGGCAAGATGCATATCCTGGGCTGAATCCGGCCTGCCAAGCCACCAGATCCAGGCCATGGCCTCCTCACCAGGACCCTTAGCCACAGAGTATCAAACACCACTTTAAACGGCTGGCTGCTCTCTGACCTGGACCCTGGGAAAGAAGGGGGTAGGCTTCACGCACTTCCCCCATCTCCCAGCAAAATCTCTCAGTTCTCATTGGCCAGTTTCCGACCAGTCGGAGCTGAAAAATTTTGCTGGAGGCAGGAGCAGCATGTGAAGCCTCCCTCCTTCCCTTTCCTTTATATACAGATAATAAAAACATCTCGAGTTACATTAGCCAGGATACAATTCTTTTTTAAAATTAACGCTTATGTGTCCTGGCATAAGCCAACTTATGACTGATTTCCCCTGGGGGTAATTTATTCCACAACTGTCCACTGAAGCATCTGGAACTTCCCATTGTCTGTAACGAGATACTGAACTAGGCAGACATTGCTCTGATCTGGTATGGCAGTTTCTGTGATCTTCTTCTAACTCCCCATGTATCTCCTATAATTTAGCTTTTACCCTTTCTATTCCATTTAAATTGGTTTTACAGCGGTCTATAATGACTCACTGCTGATTGTCTAAAAGACTCTTTTTCTTTCTCATACTCCTTTATCCTTTGCATTCTGCAGCTTATGACATTGTAAACCCTTCAGTATCCAGGTCACTGTCACTCTCTGCCTACTGTGATCACTTCATGTTCATCATCTCCAAGATACAAACTCGGAGAGTTTGTGAAAACTCTTCTATCTCCAGAATTGCTTTCCTGAATGCTAATACATTTTTGCTATTGTGTTCTCTACACAATAGAAATTCATGTAGCTTTTGACTAGAGCTGGGAATATAAGGGATTTTATGAGTTGGTAACTTCAAAAAATTAAAGAACGTTTCAAAATAAAAAGTCATTTCCAGCTAGAAAAAGCTAAACATTTTTGTTTAAAAAATGTCAAATCAAAATGTTTTCTTTTCTTCGGGTTTTTTTTCAAAATAACAGTTATGTAAAATTTGACTCAAATCTACTGTTTCCCTAATGTTCAGAAGCAGACATGCATTCCATGGTGAAATGAAAGTAAATCCTTAAAAGTGAAATTCAGTGCCCCACTGTATAATGTACCTCAACTATAATTGGCAGACCCATGAAACATACCACCTGGAATAACACACTGGGTTAATGTTCTGGCCTTTCACCTTCAGAGACCTTGCATAAATTCTGAGTTTTAGGTCACATAGAATTATTAATTAAGGCATTTGTTTATATCACAAAGCCATTATAAGCTTGGTACAGTAGGACAGTTCTGCTTAAAAACAGCTGAAGACTGGAAGAGTAGGGGAAATTGCAGAGCGGACTGAAGTGAATTGAGCATGCTGCACATACTGCCCTCCCTGTGACTGGTTTCACAGCTCTTATTAGTTACTCAGTTTCATGAGCGCTGCACTAGTAAAAACACACATTTTTTAATTAATTCCCAGTACGCAATAAGAGTCTAATTCAGATGCTTCATTCTTTGTCCCCTTAGCTATACTTTTTCTTGGTTTGAATTTCATGTAAAGAACAGAAAAAAAATAGAGAATATGCCTTGACTAAAAAAAATAAAAATAAACAATACCTTTCCATCATTAGTAGGTATTTCACACACAACTACATAACTATTAATCTTGAGTAGTAACAGTTTGACTAGTCTCTTTTAGCATGACATTGTTCCCATTAGTGACTAGATAGTCTGAACCGGAAAGTTTTACTTGTGTGAGTAATCCTGCCTCAAAAGAGTAGTCCTGTTAACTTCCATTGGCTACTTGAATATGGGTTGCAGGACCGGGACACAAATTAATATATGTCTTGTCTTCCATTTTAGTTTCAGGCTCCAGTAAAAAAACTTTCAGTATTCTTAAGCCGTTGTAGGATTTGTGTTCTGATTACAGCCTAATCTTTAATCTATACCTGCTGAGTTTGGAATCAGGGCAAGTGAAAAATGGAAATCCAATTTGATAAATTGAGCCCTCTAGAAAATCAGAATTAGGGACCTAGTGGATATGTAGGCTTTTTCCCATTCCATTGTAAGCTGCAGAGTTTTGCACAGAGTTCATATCATGGGCAGTTTGGGGAAGAGGGGATTGGCATATTTGAGCCAGATTCATGCTGCTCAGGACAGGAAAGAACCAAATACACTATTCTGAGCCAGTAAGGGCTGGAACATGATTCTGTTTCTTCCATCACCCTCCCTAGAACTTTTGCCAGTGGAGACAACTCTAAAATCCATCAGGGCTCCATGCAAATGCTCTTAGCAGATACTGCAGGGAAGGAGGTGCACTTGAATCAGAGTGTTCTCAGCCACTGTGGTCATGCCTTCATTATAGCAGCACCATCCACTGTTTATGCTGTGCTTCCTGGTGGAGGCCAGGAGTCTGCCATTTCCCAGCACCACAACTTCCCATCCTCTCCCATTTGAAGTCATCATGACTTTGCAGGAAGAGCATAGCCCCTCTCTCACCACCCCCACCTGCAGAGATTGATGAATGCTGGAGCCAACACTGTGCCAAGGGCCAGTTTTAAAAGCCAGTGGCTAAAATGGTCTGACGCTTCACTGCTGATGCTGAAACATCACTTGACCCAAACTTCATTTTTAGGGCAGGTATTATCTCTTTATAGTCCATTTTAAACAAGAAGAAAGAATAGCCAAAACCATTCTATTTACAAAAAATCAGAGCCACAGCCAGACAGCTAAAATAAACAAGCAGCCAAAACTTGCCCCCCTTCGAACTGTCTACCTGACATCCTTACTCCCAAAGTTGCTTTCAAGGCAGATGCTATTCCAAAGTACTTTGCTGTAACTAACAAATAATATGCCTTATTGCTTTTGAATAGAACTCTAAAAGTTTGCTTTCCCCATTGCCTATATTTGCTTAGGCCAATAAAGCAGAGAGACACTTCCTTCTAATCCTGAAAATGATTTCAGAGTTTTTCTGTTTTCCCTGTGGAAAAGCTTTGCCACAATGAGCTACTTACATCCTTTTAAAAAAAAAAAAAAAAAAAAAAAGCCCTAGAATTTTCTGGCTGTGTTAAAAGGAAGATTGTCTGCTTCTAAGAGGATGGCCCAAGCCTGGCCATTCAAAGGGACCCAGGGCTCTGGCCGCCATTGCTGCAGAGCCCTGGACCTTTTACATCACTGCTGGAGCACCATGCTCAGGAGCACTAAGGGCTGGGCAGCGCTAAGGGCTGGGGGGTGGAGCCAGCATGGTGCATTCCAGGAGGCGCTCAGTGCTGCCTTTCTGAGAGTACAGATCCATTCCCCCCCCCCCCCCCATCTTGTTCAAGGCCCCGTGGAAGCTGTCAGGTTCCCTAACTGCATTACAAAAATGTAATGTGTGTGCACAAAGTAGGTTTTTTAAATGTTTATAATGTTGACAAATCGCAAGGTGTTTTCACCACCTCCCCAAAAGTCACATCTACAAGGCAAGGAATATTGTCACTTCCTGCCAAATTTTACATTTTGCCATCTAACATGGGGTGGGTAATAATTTTCGCAGGGAGACCATTTAATGAATTTTTGCAACATGGTCATGAGCTGGCTCTACCCTCCACCCCACAGAAGGGGTGGGGTCTGGGGTGGAAGAGGTGGGGTTGAGGACTAGCTTTCCCCCAGAGTTGTCTGGGGCCACAAGCTTTGAATTAAAAACACAGAAAAGGGCTCTCAGCTCCCAGCCCTGCTGCTACCGCATTGTCTGGCAGCTGCAGCTATTAAAGGCTTACAGCTCCAGGCCCTGCCAAGGTAGTGCCACAGCCAGGAGACATTTAAATGGGATCCTGCTGCCTGAGTCACCACCTGGAAATTTGGTGGCACAGGCAGCAGGATATAAATAGAAAGTGGCCAGATGCAGTCCAGGGCCGGAACAAAATGTTAGGTGGGCAAGATCCATCCCCCCAGACTGCATCTTGCCCAGCCCTGATCTAACAGCACTTCCAGGCTTGTGCTGCTCAAATAAAAAAGGACCACAAAGATGTTTCATGATGGGGAAAGTATATTTCTTTTTATTCTCCCCAATCATAAAAATGGCTTCTTCATTTCTATTTAAACTGTTTTGCTCCTAAGCTGAGAACATACCTTTAGAATTTCAACCAGGTAAACAACTGAAAAAAATATTAGCACCTCTCTGGAATAGAAACACTTGGGCAACTTTAAATATGATAGGCAGAATACCTAATGACAGCTATAAGAAAATATTGAACAGCTAGACTTCCAAGTATCTACTTTTTTTTTTTTTTTTTTTGCATTTTAATTCTTTCTGTTGATACTGCTACTAAAAGACTTTTCTGTGGCTCTGGTAAACTTGTTTGTCACTGGATATGAATTCTGAATATGAATATGAAATTATATGATGACATATTAGTAAACTCAATATATTTTGCAGGGTCCTGTTGGAGAGACTGGACAGCGTGGGCCAATGGGACCAAAGGTAACTGATATAACAAAATGCATTTGAAAGTCAGCATATATATATATAGATATATATACACACACACATTTGTATTTTGTATTTTCCACTGTGGTTTGCCATATTTACGATAATCCAGGTCATTTTTTATTTTGTTTTTTTATACTAAAGCTTTCTCTTTTTAAAAAATCAAATAAAAAAGTGTTTTCTGGCTATTATTGACATGCCCTAAATACAGTGAGCCATTTTTTTATGTCAGTAATAAGGATTTTATTTTGGAATTTGCATTAGTGGTGTTATTCCACATTTATATCCATGTAGTGAGAGTAGTATTTTGCCCTGCCTGGTTAGCTAAACGTATAATTAAATGCTCTATGGGAGGCCTTTCATTTTCAAATTTTATTTGTGTATTTATTTTCCAGGAATGTATCCATTTTTATTTCAATAATTTAAAAATGGGTGAAAATCAGTGCCAAAAATTAACATTATGATTTTTCAGGTATATATCAGGGTTAGTAATGGGGGTTAGGCAGTCAGAAAGAAGACAACAATTAGTATATGTCTCTACTACCATTTATGTGGGCAAAATGTATGTCATTCAGGAGTGTGAATTTTCCACTCTCCTGAGTGACACAAGTTACATCAACATAAGTGCTATATGCACAGACCTATACTGATGGGAGAGATACCTCCTATGAGCATAGAACATCTTCACCACATGTGCTGTAGCAGCACCGCTGTTTTAGTACCATTTTGGTGCCATATGTGTAGACATGCCCTTAGAGCAGGGCTCTCAACTTCGAAAACTTGGGGGCCACAGTGATACTCACAGCACATGCCAACGGCCGCAACTTAAGTGTGGTTGCATGTACATGCAAATATATGCAAATACCTTCTTTCACACTGACGGGCATGAATACAAAGATTAAGGAAACACTACGCAACATGCAGGCTCCATTGAAGTCAGTTCTGTTGATATTAATAAAATGCAATATTTACCCGATTTCCACTCATATGACAGCACTTTTAATGAGCAATGATAGTCCAGGAATTTAACCACTAAAACACATATCAACAGAAGACCAGTATATTGACTCGCCATTATGGAGTGTGTTCCCAGTGGAGGCCATGTTCAAAGGATCCCACCCATGGGCTGCATGTTGAGCCCTGCGTAAACCCAAACTGCACTGCAGGCCGCAAACAAACAGGCTGAATGTTGAGTAGTTCTGCCTTAGAGAAAAGTGAGAGTTTATAGTTTATCTAATCCCCAATACAAAAAATCCCTTCTTTCTAAAAAAAAGAGTTTACTGTTGACTTGTGCAGTTACACTTGATAAAAGGTCTTCAGAGTGAATTCTAAAAGTCCTGGCTAGTGTAGATGCACAGCAGCTTTTTTCAGAGAGTCTCAGCACTTCTCAGCTTACTCTCTGGGCCTATGTGGGGATTAGTGTGATCTGTTCCTAGCCCAGGGACAGAAAAAGTTCAGTCCAGCCGGTGACGTGGATTCAGTTCTGAGCCTTGAGGAACCTTTATGAGCAGTGACGTGTTCCTAGGCCCAGCTACTCAGAGGGGGCATCATGGGGAAGCAGGGGCCTATTGGGGGGGAAGGGTTGCCTAATACAAAAGCAGTGAGCGAGAGTGAGGGGGTTGCTGGTTGGAGGAAGAGATGGGTGGAAAGGGGTAGCCTGCGGGATGGTGTGGGGAAAAGGGATGGAACTGTTTGCCCTGGGTCCACACTCCAGGATCAGGAGTGGCCAGTTCTCAAAAGTACAGCATCCTCTCGTTATGGCCTGCCACTGTAACAACTGGTGGTCTTCATAGTCTCCTTGCCCATTTTAATCCCTCTCTGTGAAGCTGAGGTAGCCACCAACTAGCAGTTATTCTTTGCACAAGGCCAGCAGTCAGTGAGGTGGGGAGCTATGTCTTGGGAGTTTGAGCAGCTGAAAAATCCAAACATTTTATTTTTTGAAACCTAGGAATATTTTGGAGGTTTTCAGTAAAAACCAAAAGCCAAGGGCCCTTATGATACGTTCTATTGTAGAGCATGACAATAAATAAACAGCAAAGTCAAAACATTCTAACTTGAGTGCCCATGGGTAAGTACCTAAGTCCATATTTAGGCATCTGCATAAGCTGCCTGATTTATGGAGATGCTGCATATATACACACAGTTCCTAGAGACGTCAATAAAGCTGCAATGCTCCATAGCTCTGTGAATAAGGATACTCAAGGACAGATCATGCTCACACCTTGTAATGCCCATCAGACTAGAGTGTAGGAAACATCATGAGGTTCTCCTTTGTGGAGTTTCCTCTGAACTCTTTTCAGTCAGAGCATCCCACCTTGCTTATTCTGATTAATGATAATCACAAATCCAGTTCAGGGTGTCTTACAGCTACATTTGTTGGACAAGGAAAAATAAAATATCACTAGATGAGCAATAATAGGCGATTTTTGTTGGAAGTACTGGCTGTAACTTGGCAAGGAGAAGTCTGTTGTTCTATCCAATCTTGTTTTGGCTCAATGCAATCCCTCTTTGTCCTTTGTTAGCTCAAGGTGACATGTTAGTAGTGCCCAAAATGTGTGGGTTTATGAGTTCCAGGAAGTGGCTCTGTAGCTTACAGAAAAACCTGCCCCTCTCGTCTTCCAAAAGAAAAGATTCCAAAAGACCCATCCATTGTAACCATAGTGACAGAAGAAAGGTAGGATGGTTTGTGATGAAAGAACTTGGAATAGAATTTCCAAGATCTTTCCAGCTCTGCCATGGACTTCCTATGTGACCTCAGGCAAATTACTTAATCTCTTTGTGCCTCACCATCTCATATGTAGAATGGAGATAGTAATTGGTTGTAAGGATGAATTAATTTATTTGTGAGGCACTTAGGCCCAGATCCTCAAAAGTATTTAGGTCCCAAATTCCCATGGAGCTAGGCACCTAAATATCTGTGAGGATTTGGGCCTCAGATATGAATGGGTTGTGCCTAGATCCTAAGTGCCTCAGTGGTCACACGTCTGTTATATTTGTCTACCAAACCAGTTTTGTATGACCTATCTTTCCTTCAGTAGTTGGCAGGAATGGACAATTAACCATTTTCTCTTAGAGTGCTATTTTTCAGTCTGGCATAATCCTGTGAATCACTTTACAGATTTTAACACATCGACTATTACTCCCATTTAAAACAGCCTTTTGTTGGTAGCTCTTGAGTGATTTCTGCCCTGACAATGAAAGCCCCTGATTTCTACATTGCCTTGTACCTCAGGAAGTAATTTACTCCAATGAAAGATGAGTGTAAAGTAGATGTTCTGTGTCCCCATTGTGAGCTCATATTAGGGTTTTGCACCCCCTTTTCACAGATGAAATTGATTTTTGTGAAGTCAATGCAAAATGCAGTTTTAACCTTTTCTGAGTGACAAAGAACCCTAGAAATCTAAATAGAAATCCTGTGGACTTTAAAGTCCAACTAAATTATAAGTTTAGTGTGGTATAATTAATCATATTTTTATAGGAGAGTTGTCCCACCCCAGATCAATGATGTGCACACATCATCTATCATGATAACCTTAGTGTTCTGCTTCCAGCTGATAACTGTCCTCTCTAAAATCTGTTTTTAGAGAGGATAATGATAATTACTATGAAAAACTCCTTTTTCTACCAGAAACCAGCGAGGTCTAGTTATCATAAATAAAATCATTCCTAAAAGAATATTTTGGAAAACATTTCAACAGACAGAGTCATTCTGTCTTGGGCCTGATTCATCAATGCTTGATTTCCAATTTAAACCAGTGTAACTCTGCTGAAGTTAATCAATATTCATTCTCTCTATAAAAAAATTAGGGGAGTTACACCACTGTAAAGCTGACAAAATTTTTATTTAATTCTATACAAGCAAGTTTTTAAATCACTGTTGTTATGCTGCATTTTAATATTTAACGTGGCCTTTTTTCTGTTTCAACATTTCAGGGAGAAAAGGGGGATACTGGTCCACCAGGTCTAGCAGGTTTAAAGGTGAGGAAGTCATTGACATTGATTTACAAATTCACTGTTTTTTCTGCTCCATTTACTCTCTTTATACACTAAAATGATGGTAAATGTTGATTACATTAACACAATATTCAGGGACATATTTCCAGTTAGGCACAGAAATCATATACCTAGGACCACCTGCATTCTAGAGGTGCATTACCTCTCTAAAACTGTGCAACACAAAAGTCAGCTGTAGGCAGTGGGGGGTGCTAAAGATACTGTGCCTAAGGGTGTAAATCTGGCCCTGAGAATACTAATTACACACACAGTCTATTCCCAGCGATTTTGTAAACTATCTGAGGAGAATTATCGTTATCTGTAAACTGTGTGATCTGTTGACAGATACTACAATGTTTAAAATATGGTGGGTCTGATTCTCTACTGAGTTACTTACTCCAGTTGTACACCAGCATGACTTCAATGTTATCAACAGAGTTACAGTGGTGTAAAACTGCATTAAAGCAGTGACTAATCTGATACTCTGTTTGCAGAACTCTTATCACAGTTGTATCATAACAGCGCCTGCTTGTTTTAATTTTAATAAAATGACATATTGTAGTGGTTGCTGCTTGTTATAAATTCCATCTGCTGTACATATTTTGAACTTGCACAATCTGTATGGAGATACCATTTCTCTACTGTGCTGATGAGTAAGAAAGTTCTTGATTTCTTCAAGGTCCTACCTTATTTTCTTATATGAACTATTGTTGGAGAAAATCTTCTGCTTTATGACCTTTCCCTCAGTAATTATCACTGTATGCAGTTGTGATAAATAATGTTTTAAGTCATATTTCCAAAGTGCATAACTGTTGTGAATGAGGTGACTACAAAGCTATGTAAAAAATAAGCGATCAGAATCAGTCTGTTCAGTTCATAAATAATAGAACAACATTGGCAGATACCCTAAGAGGATGAGTTATGCACATTTATTTTGAAATAAGCTATTCTGGAATACTTATTCTAAAATAGCTTATTTTGAAATAGCATGTCTACACTTCAGGGAAGTCTCAAAATTAGTCTGAGGCAGACTTTCCTAAATGTGGGGCAGGTCAGTGAGTTGGTTGACTGCAGTATAGGTATACCCCAAGTCTCATTTTAAAAAATGACTCTTGTATTTAGGAGCCTTTGTCCCATTAACCTTCAATGAGATTTAGACTGCCAAGTGCCATGTTGAAAATGGAACTTGGTCTCCTAAGGCACTTGGGTTCTTTAGAAAATTTTACCCACTGTTACTGAAGTGCCCATTTGTTCTTCAGGAGCATGCTTTGTAGCTGGCAGAGGAAAGCTGAGGTGATGCAGAAGGATACAAACTGTACTTAATGAAGCAGCAACATCAGTGCTATTAAGATTATTGGTGCTGTAATAACTAAAAGGAAAAATGGAGATTTCAAATGTTATGAGCTATCATCTTTAAGTCCTTCTTTCAGGTAGAGAATCCAGGATGGTAAACATAACCAGCACCATCTGGCAGATTTAGAATCTTTACAGCTTTGTTTTTCTTGTAGAAAGTCTTGTTGAGCATTATATGGTAAATAAACAAAAACAAAAATCCCTTCCAAAAGCAAAACTTCATTTTAAAACTACAATGCCACATGAATTTGTCTCCCTCAATGAGGGAATCTCACAGCTTGGCTGCTATGTGTGAGTGATTCTAGTATCCCCTGAAATAATGTGCCCAAACATAAAGAAACCAATGCATGAAAGTATAGCTCTATATATGTCTGCTGCTTTCTTAATTGCTTATTAGCTGATTTATTTTTAAATGATTGGTTACTGTGTGATATTTAGAACTTTTCCAATGGCATGATTGAGCAGCTTTCTACAACTCTGGTGAAATACCATGGATGCTGCATTGAACTAGATGGGATACAATTTAAAATTAGTAATAGAATGTGTATTTCTGTTATGATAGGGTGCACAAGGTGCAGATGGAAAACCTGGATTTCCTGGTGTTGCTGGACGTCCTGGAGATGCAGTGAGTTGTACCACCATACTCTTTCCTTGTGTGATCATGTACACAGTTGTACCCAAACTATAGTCCAGGAAATACCAGTAATCCCAAGAGTAAATATTAGTGGTCCATGGAGAGATGGCTGGTCGCATTGTGTCGACTCTCATCCATGTATGCAACAGAATGAGAAGCTTGGAAATACATGTGATGCTTTCCTAATATTGTGTTAATATGTAAAAAGTTAACTGTAATTGTAACAGATATGTTTGTATAGTAGGACATGGCCCACACTATGAAAAAATTGGAGACTGGTATAACCTGTATCTAAGTGTATTGCAAAGTTTCTGCTTCTAGAGAAATCTGCAAGCCCCAATATTGTTAAGAATTTAATTCACTCTGTACTGAAACTTGGCAGAAAAGACGTTGACCTATGACATTTTTTTGGTTTGCATACATTCTGGAATAAAGTGCCAGAATGGCACTTTATTTTTTTTTTCAATTGGAGGAGGAAAACAATAGATGCCGAGAGGTTTTTAATGCTCTTGTGTGTGTAACTCAGTAACCCCATGGCAGTGTTTCAAAGGGGCAGCACTGCACAGAGCCCAGGATCAGCTGTGCGGCACTGCCCCTTTGAAATGCCGCCCCAGTGTTGCAAAGCAGCAGTGCCGCATGAAGCCCGGGGTCAGTGGGCACTCCCTAGCTAATCCCAGGCTCAGCGTGTGGCATTTCAAAGCAAGCAGAGCCCAGGGTCAGCTGAGGAGTTCCCAGCTGACCCCAGGTTCTGCAGAAATGTCGCACAGAGCCCGGGATCAGCTAGGGAGTCCTGAGCTGACCCCAGCTCCACTTGGCATTTCAAAGTGGCAGCGCCGTATGGAGCTCTGGGTCAGCAGGGAACTCTGAGTCCCCCCTGGAGACTCTGGTACATTTCAAAGCTGGCATACGGTGTGCAGCCTGAGGCAATGGTAAGTCACTGCTGAGACTGGGCTCCATGTCAGGATCTTGTGCATTTCAAAGCATGTGAATCCTGGAGTCAGCAGGACTTCCTGCTGGCCCCAGACCGCATGCAGTGTTCCAACTTTGAAATGCACAAAAGCCCCGGCTGGGAGGAGGAATTTCAAAGGAGGAATGTGGAAGTGCCTATCGACCAGCTGAGTAGTCAATGGAAATTCTTTTGATTACTCGACTAGTAAATTAACTGATATTTAACATCCTTAAAATTTCCTGGATTATGTTAGGTTAGCAGTGTCACCCCAGTTCAATAGAATGTATTATGCAGTGAAGTATTTACATAATTGTATCAGGGGTATATGTATTTTTGTAAATTGAAGACAGAGGTTGGAAACAGGAAATCTGGGTTGTAAACCTGATTATGAAGCTGATTTGCTCCTTATCTTTGGGCATGCCATTTAAACCTATTTGTCGCTCACATTATTTGGCTGGAACTCCAGGTGGTATAAATCCATGCTGACTTGCACCAACTGTAGGTCTGGCTTCCTTGTCTATAAAATGTTACCCACCTTTGTAAATTACTCTGAGGTATAGAAATCAAGTGCCATATAGCTGCAAACTAATATGTATTTTCATTTTTTTTTAAATTACCAATTGAAAAAAAACAAGTATAAACTCTAACAAAAAGTAAGGTCTGGATTTACTCTTTTTAACAAATCAGCTTTCTGTTAAGATATCAGTTTATGTCATAATAGAGAAGCAGTAAATCTCATACTTGTCCTTCCTTAGGGGAAAAAAAGCAGTGCATTATGTGGAAAATACTAGCTTTGTCTGTTTCCTTCCTCATACTTTTATGTTGTCAAAGACGGTAGAGAAAGACAACAGCTTCGCTAGGCCCCTGGACAAGATGGAGAGGGAGGCAGCTCTGTGCTTCCAAAAGAGGCAGAGCTTCGTGCAGATGGGGCAGGGATGAGGCAGCCGTCCCGCAGTGTCAGCTGGACCACTGTGTGCACCCCTTTGGCCCCACCCTCAGAGCTGCCTGGAGCATGGCAAAGCATGCCCCGTCACTCAGGCAGCCCTAAGAGCTGCCTGGAGAATGTTGTGTGATGCTCCAGCACCAGCAGAGAGCTCTGGACCTTTATGAAACACCAGCCCCCAGAACAACGGCCACATTTGCCTCCTTCCCCATCTGCGGGCCTGAGTAGAAATGACTAAAAACATTCAAAACCAATACACGCTTAGTGCCTGATCCGAATCCATTGCAATCCAGAGTCTTTCCATCAGCTTCATTGGGCTTTGGATCAACCCCTTCATGAACATTATTCTCTGCTGGTGGGAGGGAGAGTATTGTCACAAATTTTCCTTGTAAACTGTTAACACTCCTTTATTAAATTGCATGTAGGGTCTGAAAGGAGAGAAGGGTGACATGGGACCCAAGGTAAGATGAAATGGATTTCTTCATTGAATTTTTTGCTGGGTAGCTGGTACTTAATAAATGGCCTTTCCATCTCTACTACTGTTGAAATAGGGTGAACCAGGACAGGATGGTGCTAGTATTGTTGGACCACCAGGGCCACCAGGACCACCGGGGCCAATCGTAGCAGTATCACAGGTAAGTGTCATTGTAAAGTGTTAAGAACTTGACTATATTGCAGTGAAGAACAACTTGTGCTGGTGTTGCTGTTCGGTTCATAGATCCAGTCCTGAAAGAGAAAAATCTGTAATAAATGTCTACACCTAGCCACCCCACACACGCACATTTTTCCAATCATAATTTCAAGTCATCACCCAAGTGTGTCAAACCCAGACCTGCAGGATTTAAGGGAAAAGCCACACTCTAGCCCTCCATCTTACAGCCTGCTGACTCTGGTTCCCAACTCATGGGTCTGATCTTTGGTTTGTCGCAGCCTTTTGACTTCCCTCTCTTTTGACCCAGTTGACTCCACTTCTTCCTTGTGACTATAGACTCTGGCTCTGACTACTAAGTCTAGGCACCCATGACCCTGTCATGACAAAAAGACAGTAAAATGAATGAAGACTAACAGAACAGTGTTTGCTCCTCTTAGCAAGTACAGGAAAAATTAACTAGGGAATACAGCATAGAGCAAATATAAAGTAAAGGGGCCTTTAAAAAGAGTTTAAAGAGAAGCTAGATAATTTCATGGAGGTTAGGTCCATAAAAGGCTATTAGCCAGGGGATAGAATTGGTGTCCCTGGCCTCTGTTTGTCAGAGGCTGGAGGGGGATGGCAGGAGACAAATCGCTTGATCATTGTCTTCGGTCCACCCTCTCTGGGGCACCTGGTGCTGGCCACTGTCGGCAGACAGGATACTGGGCTAGATGGACCTTTGGTCTGACCCAATATGGCCATTCTTATGTTCTTATGCCTCTGTGAGTATGTCTACACTGCCATTAGATACCCACAGCTGGCCCATGTTCGCTGACTTGGGCTCCTGGAGGACAAGGTCCATTGAATCGTGATATAGATGTTAAGGCTTGGGCTGCACCCCAAGTTCTGGGACCTTCCCAACTCACAGAGTCCTGGAGCCTAAACTCCTGTCAGAGCCTGGATGTCTGCACAATAATTAAACAGACCCTCAGCTTGAGGAGCCTGAGACAGCTGGGACAAGCAAATCAAAAATATCTAAGAGTATAGGCATACCCAGTAATTCCAGCAATGCTAGCAATCAAACTTCAGTAGTGCCTAGACTCCTCCATGTTTTCTACCAGGTGTGCACCATACCAATCAAAGAAATAGCTGTATCACAAAGCCCTGGTGTACACTAGGGAGTTATTTTGAAATGCTCCCCCCCCCCCCCACCCCACCATTATTTTGAAATAATAAGCAGAGCATCCACACTACCAAGCCCATTATTTCAAAATAACAGGCTGGTTATTTCAAAATCTGTACTCCTGCTTTCCTCGGGGAATAACAGGTTCAAAATAAGCATTATTTCAAAATAGCATTAGTGTGGACAATCCTGTGCTGCTAATTCACAATAATTGCCCTCCAGAGGCCTCTCTCAGCTGCAGTTCTGACCGCGCTGGCCATACCTGGGATCGCCACTGCTCCCCTTCTCCTGCAGAGGAAGCCTAAAACTCCAGGCTGCAGGAGAAGGGCTTGTCACACATGGCCTGCTTTGCCAGCCCGTTTGAGACAACAGCATCCCAGAAGCCATGAGTGACCCCAATGCTCCCTCGGAGCCTCCCATGACTGCCAGCACTCCTGCTGCTCCCTTGGCTGCCACTGGCCAGGGTGCAGTAGAGCTCCAGCCTGAACTGGTGCAGAGATCCTGGACCTCATCGAGGTCTAGGGTGAAGAGACCAACTTCCAAAATGGCCATGCCAGAAAGCAAAATGCAGACATCCGCAGCCAGATCACCACCAGCCTGGCTGACAAAGGCCACAACCGGACCCTGGACCAGGTCCAGATGAAAGTCAATGAGTTCCAGCAGGCCTACCACAAGAGCAGGAAGCAGAGTGGGTGCTCCAGGGTGGAACCACACAGCTGCTGCTACTCTGAACAGATAGATGCCATCGAGGAAGTGGGGCTGGTCACTTCTCCCACCCCCCTGTCATTGTGGAGTCCGGCCAGGACACGACCGGCATCAGTCTCCAAGAGGGTGGGGTTGTGGACAAGATGGAGATGGAAGTGGAGGTGGAGGAGGAGGCCAGCCAGACCATGTCCACCAGCCAGGAGCTGCTCTTCACCCTGGAGCCAGTACCCCATCCCCCAGGATGCATCCCAGGCCTTGGATGAACCCAGGGAAGGCACATCAGGTGAGTATTATAACTTTCCTGTATACACACAGGGGCAGGCAACGGGCTGCACACTCCTTGCTCGGCCTGTGGGTTGCACAACAGCCTGTGAACATTGACGCACCTGGAGTGCCAATCCAGAGCACTCAGCCCCATCACACTCTCACACGGGAACCCCGCACGCCTTCTCACAAGGTTCCTGGAGGGGCCTGCCTTGCTCCAGCTTCCGCGGTGGGACACCTTCCCACAACAAGCCACCACTGAAGAGGCTGAGGTCATGGAACCACACAGCAGTGCCGCACATGGCACAGGGTCTCCCGGTCATGTGCAGCGATGCATAGAAGACTGATCCCCTGCATGGGAACCTGCTGGATGGGGTGGAGGGGAGAGGAGACTCTTTCTGGCAAGCAGCATCTGCCACTCACGCACACCTTCCCCAACATCCCTCCCCCCCCTTTCTGCAGGCAGGGATAGATGTTCCCTCTCTGTGACATGCTGTCAGTGCTGGACCCGGTATGTGCAGAACACAGTAGAATGCTGAGCTGCCCCATTCTCCCCTCTCCCCCCACCCACAGACTCCTGGCCTTGCCGGCACCTTCCAATGCCTGCTTGTCCCCGAGCAGTGGGTATAGCATGGCTCCTCTGGAACGTTTGTGCCCCTGCAGGACTGTGCCCACTGTCTCGGCATCAGATGACTTTGCTTAAAGCACATCACCATCGTCTGAACTGAAACCTTTAGTGTTGGCTCAGAGATGAAGGTCTCTTCATACACAGTCTCTCCTGGGTGACTGCCCTTGTAAGTTTTCTTCACAGCTGGGCCAGCTGTGAGCTTGCCGTGTCTACCACCTCCCACGCCATCTGCACGACTCCCCAGGATTTACAGGCAGAAGAGAACCCACAAGGACCTGATGTGGGAGCAGATGTCCTGCCTGCAGTCCCTCCTCTGGGGGCTTGAGGAGGAGTGCTGGGAGCATGCCACTGACCGGGAGCAGAGGAAAGCTGCCTGGGATGAGCTGGCATGCCAGCATGAGGCCATGTGCTCCTCCCTCACCGCAGTGATGGAGCACATTGCCTCATGCATGGAGCTAGCCCTCAGCCACCTCCCCCCGCCCCACCCCAACGCTTT